GCCGATATCTTTCACGGCCAATGAGAACGACCCAAATTTGAGTTTAGTTATCTTAGAAATAAGATATAAATTGCAGGAACTCAGCGATGAATAAATTTGCCTCATGTTTCCCAGGTTTTTCCAGGATTTTAAAGGGAAAAATTCCCGAATTTGAGAAAAATAAAGATTGGATTCACTCAGTCTATTGGTACTACTCCGAGACTGAAAATTTTTTTTCGTCTATTTCCACATTTTCAGGCAGATTTTTTAGAGTTGGTTGGAAATGCTAACATGAAGCTTTAGTGTGATGATTTATTAGCTAGAGAATGATCTTTAGAAGAGGGTAGGTGGATAGTTCCGTTAGAGTACGGCAGTATGAAAATTGAATAGAAGTTGAAAATGGGCGAAGGGCCATTAATGCGTCAGTTTTTCAAGATAGACGCACATTTTTGCCTAACCCGTACGATGTACGCGGGGACTTGAAGTATGTCTCCAAGTCCACAGGCAAAAATGTGCGTCCCTCTTTTTGCTCATAAACTGACTGCGGCTGTGGAATAGTTCTAGCGACGTTTTCATCACTACCCAAAGCCCCACGTTGCGAGAGCATTTCCAGTCGATGGTGTGTTATAATGCAGTTCTTCTTTACCCAACTATTGTGTTGTTCCTCTCGTCATGACCAACGTGATCATCTCAGAGAGAAAGCAGTAGGGTGATTGTTGCGTGCTGTACCATCATCAGCATTGTTGACGGCTACTCCCGCCGAAAAACTGACGCATTAATGGCCCTTCGCTCATTTTCAACTTCTATTCAATTTTCATACTGCCGTACTCTAACGGAACTATCCACCTACCCTCTTCTAAAGATCATTCTCTAGCTAATAAATCATCACACTAAAGCTTCATGTTAGCATTTCCAACCAACTCTGAAAATCGTTAACTTCGCGTATGAAGTAACATAAAAAACACTTTGAGATTTTTTAGGTTTTGAACAGGAAACCATGAGACAAATTTACTCATCGCTGAGTTCCTGCACTTTTGGCGATTATGAGTGAACTAAACTCAAATTTGGGTCGTTCTCATTCGCGGTGTACGCAAAAGGAAAAGAGCCAGTGTCGCTACTTGACAGCAAACTACTCATAATGGGAGGAGTCTTTGTAGCTTTTATACCACTTGGTTGCACATCATTCTGCTTTAATCTGAAAAGATCTAAACGAGCGCTGCTGTATGGCATTAGCTCATGTTCGCTTCGGACGGCGTGGTGAACAGCAATAGCAGCAGTAGGAAGGTGGTAGCTAGTCCACTCCTTCACACCTAACAAGCAACAATTGACTGGTCGTGGCAAAGGAGGAAGAGGTCTGGTAAAGGAGGCGCCAAGCGCCATCGCAAAGTTCTTCGAGTTAACCGCCATCGGTCGTCTGGCTCGCCGTGGTGGTCAGCGGTGCCAGATTGATTTTAAGCTTATCGGTATCAATGGTTTTTAAATATCGGTATTTATCGGTATTTCTGAAGGCAATAAACAAACAAAAAACATTTGGACAAGTAAAGGTCTTCCAGGAAAGATTGAAAACATTTCCGGAGAATGTTTGATTTAGCATTTGAAAGAGATCGAAAAAACTGCAAGAAAATTAAACAAGAAGCTATTCTGGGGGAAGTTTGAAGAAAGGGCTATGACAAATCGGAAATGTCGAGAAACTCTAGGAAAAATCGGATGACACATCCAAAGGAAGCTAGAAAAGTTTAGGAAATCTGAAGAAAATTCCAGGAGAAGGCATTTCCAGGGGAATCTAGAAGAAGCTTGGAAAAACATTTCAATAGAATTCGGTTAAATCCTCCGGAAGAAGCCTGGGGAAACTTCGAGAGGAGTACGACAGCAACTAATGGGAGAATTTGATAGATATTTCTGATCGATTGAAGATAAATTTATTGAAATCGATCCAGGGGCAGCTGAGCTATTAATGTTCAAAATCTTTCATAATTTTGTTTCATGTCCTATTTTCGGTTTTCACAAAGTGTACCCCAGTATAGAAATTAAAGACGTAGTTCTACGTTAAAAAAAAATTGGGTTAATTTTTTAACGTAGGACTATGTCTAAGATTTCTATATGGGGGTATACTTTGTGAAAACCAAAAATAGAACATGTAACAAAATTATGAAAGATTTTGAACGTTAATAACTCAGCTGCCCCTGGACCAATTTCAATAATTTTATCACCAATCGATCAGAAATATGTCTACGCATCGATAACAAAAGAAAAGCATAGATAAGAAGCATGTAGTGAACAAGGATCATAAATTCGCCGAAAAAGTGTTAAGCCACGTTCTGCTAAAGGCTAAGATTTACCAATTTGTTGAAAGAAGAAGTTTAACGAGAAACACTAAAAATGGGAGGAGCTATAGTTGGGTGAACACTGATATTCTAGTGGCCGTTTCTATACAACGAATAATTTAGTGTAGAAAGGCACAGCAGATGAAGTGTATGATAAAATACCCAAAATGAGTGGGGCATGATTTTCTAGCTTTCCAAAAATGATTATTTTTCATGTCCGATTGACAAGTGACAAAAACGTAAAAAGAGGAGGCACTTCAGCTGCTTTCGACCATACAGTAGCTGACCGAAGCTCCTCCCATTTGGTGGTGTCATTAGCATCTAGTGTTTCGTTCGATGTCCAGTGCCGTATTATTTATTGAATCGCATTCGGGTACTTGGTTACAAACTGTTTATTACCTTCAGCGTGCCGCTCATTTCTATTCACCTGCCACATCTGAACCAGTTGAATCGCTGATTGAAGTTACACAAACGGCCCTTTTCAGGGCCACCAATTTATCTTCAGGAGATAGAATGATAGGACAGAACTACTCAGAGTTGGTTCAATGGACCGATTTACCTCAAAATATGATCGATGGTTCAGAAATTCGAAGCTAGAAACCACCTGTTTATAATGACAATACTTACTGACATTGTCTGCAAATGTGACCGCAAAAGGACAAATATTTTCTACGGCGACCACAAAAAAAGCAGCAGTGTAAGCTGATGCTGATCGTCATGGAATTTGGATAGATGAAAGAGCTGCAGAAGCAATCGAAGAATGAGAACTGGGTTTGTTTTGCTCTTGTTCGTTACTGTACATCTATGCACCATAAGTACTCACGTGAAGAATGACGAATAATGACGAATAAAAGTACAATTAAATTGAGGAAAGCTTTCGCGTGCAGTGGTCTATAGGTTCCAATGGAAAGTCACCATGGAACTCGCCGTTGACGTTAACCATTTTCATTTCAGCCTGCTACAGTTAAAAAAACAACATTTTTTTTATATAAGACCACGTAGTCCTACGTCACCATTGCGTACAACCCCAAAGGGCTGTCCTTTGTAGTTTTTTTTTAACTTTGTAAGGCCGCCATTTAAAATAAAATATTTTGTTTTAATCCATCGATCGCCACCTAAATTGACTTGTGAATTGTTAATGCAAACCCTTTTGAAATGTTTGATTTCTGATAATTTCTGCTCGTGCCAACGTCTTTTTAAAAAAGCCTCCTCCTGTGAGCGGCATCCCGGTGAACAAACACCAGGAAACATAATATTTCCAATCATCTAGCAACAAAATTCCAAAACTGCACCAAGCTTCGGTCGAAATCGGTGCAACCACAATAACAACTGGTGCGTGCAAAATACATTTCGGTAAAAAGAAAAGTTTTCTCATTTACACCTGACTGGCGATGGTAAAATGCGATGGTATTTCATAGTATGAACTAGAGAGGGTCTAGTATAAGAGAGAGGCGGACTGGCTGGTTTTGAGCCAAATGAACTGTCAGATCCAGAGCCAATCGAGCAGCGCCTATCTTGATTTCATTGGCAGTGTTGCTAGAAACCGCCGAATCATAGGTTTCCAAGGCAGTTTGTTTTGAGTCTGCTTCTCTCTTATACTACACCCGCTCTAGTATGAACCTGACTAAGGACTATTAGGTACTGGTGGGTAACTACAACTACGAACCGGATCACTGAAACGTTCTAGTCGAGCACTGCGTTCTGTCCTGTATCGTACGTGCCACCAATGGAATGGTGCCACAGACAAATAGATGCCACACTGTGAGTGATGTGAATTTGCTACGTAAACAATCTGTCGTTGGCCAAAGTTTCGTGACCCTATTATTTTACTCGTAAAATATCGTCGGTTTGTCTATGAGTGCAGCACTATATTGCAAGGATATGAATGCAATAGTTCCTGTTTTGATTGCCAACACGAGCCCACGTTTGACGCTGAGGCAACAATACTCTGTATATAGAAAACGGATATTGAAGCGATGAAGTTTTCTGGGCATTCAGGGGTGAATAATGGTGTAACCGGAATTTATCACGACACTTCTTCCCCGGGGTGGTAAGCAAATGGAACGTTTCGAATCGCTTTGTGGCCTCGTGCAAACATTTTAAAATAATTCGGAAAATCACTTTAGTAGAAACTCGTTTAGTCTGTGGCTTAGGTCCCCATAACGCAATACCATTTAATCAACGGAATTCAATACGAATCAGTTCCTAACCGACAGGCAAAAGAGACAAATCTATGCTATTTTTAGGAAACTTTCCCATGCCCCGACGAAATCGAATTAGACTGAAAACGAGTCACGGCAAACATTGTTGCTTGCCGGTTTCTCTACGGTTTCGGGAGACTGACACACCTACCAAGTTTAGAACGGTGAATAGACTATAATAAAGTTGCTCAGTTTAGCACCGAGGGCCAGGGCCGAGCGAGTCAATCGGGTGGAAATTGTCGGGTTTATTATTTGAAAATCGATAAAGGTTAGGGTTTCTTCCTCACCCTTTATAAATGATAAGGATGGGAGGACATGCGCTCCGATCCGGGGGGACTAATTTATTGGAACAAGTTTAACCCCGAAACAATTTGTTCCAGCAGTTGGCAGCCACTACCTCCGTCGCACTAAGGACCGATATTTAATTGTGTGATAATATCGAGAGGCTATAGCCATAGGAAGCAAAGTTTGTGGAACGCTGAACACTGATACTCACTCGAGTCGAGCAACCGCTGGGTTCGTTGGTATTCCTTTTCCGATTCCCGTTTGTGCTCCATGGCTTTGTGCGTTTCGATGAAGGCCAACCGCTGACCTCGGTCGGTGAGATACTTGGTGTACATTCCGGCAAAATTGATGGCCAGGTAGAGCAGTGAGTTGGCAATCATCTGACGGACGATGCAGGTTGTGTCCTGGTTATTTTGGAAGGGGTTGAAATAAATTCAATTCAATAGATTAGTTTGGATTTATTATTTCAAGCAATGCTGCCAATTGAAACACACTTACCGTCTCGTGTAGAAACTTGTTGATCGTCGTAACGATCAGATGGCAAATGGCTGACATTGAACCGGCAATCATGCACCACTTCAACGGCAGTGGCAGCATGGCGTATGGCACAAAGATGATGAACAGGACATACCAGATGAGGTACTCCCGTTCGGCAAAGCCCAACCCTTCGCCGATGAAGCCTTGCAGGTTCAACAGCAGCCACGTGCAGACGGCAGCCCAATGGAGATAGTTGTTGGCAAACAACCGCCAACTGCCCAGCACACAGATCAAAAAGTTAGAGATGACACAGCACACCGACCAGGTGATTTCGTGAGGTTTGATGGACTGCAAGAGCAAGTTGGAAAGCATAAACTTACTAATTGGCAAACTAATTTGAATGCATATATATAAATTCTCCTGTCGGAAGCATTTACCTGCGGATGGTTGAATCCGATCCAGACAGACGCCAGCACAATCTTGAGCACCAGATCCACCACATTGACGAGGATGAGCGACTTTTGCCGTTGCCGGTGGGAGTAGGTCAGATAGGATCGCTCGAGGGACGGTGCCCGAAAAGAGTTGGTCATCGAGGGACACAGAATGCCCTTGATAACGTTGCCCCGCTTGAAGGCCGAATACGTATTGCTGCTGAGGGGTGGGAGTGTGTTGCTATTGCCGACGTTTCCACCACCACCTTCACCACCATTTCCACATTCATCACCTCCTCCGCCGGGTGGGGGACCACATTTTCCGTTGCTATCATCGGTCGTGACTGGTGTGGTTGCACCGTTCGTCGCCGGTTTCTGCTGGTGGCTCTCTACTGGGGATGGTGATACTGAGAAAATAAAAACAACATTGCGGAAATTAGTGTCACTGTTGGTAGTTGCTCGGCGGAGAGAAAGAAGGTGCTGTAATATTGATGTAGTTGGCACCAATTTAATTAGACCCTTTCGCGCTTAGCGCTTTCCGGGTGGGTACACAAGAATGCACTCATTGGCGTAAATTGGCCTGTGTGCGATGATGAAATATTGCGTTTTAATTAATGACCTGCTGTGTAGTCGATTTACAGTCACTGGATTGGCGAATTAATGCAATTAAACACAACAATAGCGAGGTTAACCCTCTGGAGTAGCGGTTCTCAAACTTTTGCCGATTGCGACCCACTTTTAGACGTTCCATAAGCTCGCGACCCACCAATATTAACACAGATTTTTTAAAACCAAAATTACGTTTCAACTTTTTTTTTTTTTTTCCTTTGGTTTGTTTTTTTTCGTCGATCTTGTTTTCCGTGCTGAGCACCAATGCTACCGACGTGCCAGGAAGGCAGCTCCTACACCTGAAACCCACCTATCGACCCATCAACTCATGAACCGGGGACCAACGGCTTTACTTCCCATCCGAAGGAAGGCGTGATCAGAGATGTTATGCCTCAGAACATCCCGGCGGCGCCGACTGGGATTGAACCCAGGCCTTCTGGGGTGAGAGGTAATCACGCTTACCACTACACCACCGGCGCCGTTAGTACCTTTCAACTTAAATGATCTGAAAACATTAGGTATCAAAACGCCGAAGTAATAAGTATATAGAAACGAACGTTAAAACGATGAAAGGGTAAAAATTACTCCGGGCCCACTTGCAGCATCAAGCCTCGTAGTCTGCGAAGGGTCCGCAGGTCGCCTTCTACTTGGTCGATCCACCTTGCCCGCTGCGCGCCTCTTCTTCTTGTTCCTGTTGGGTCGCTTTCTAGAACCAGTTTCACTGGGTCGTCGTGTGGCATTCTTACGACGTGCCCAGCCCACCGTAGTCGCCCAATTTTTACAATGTGGACGTTGGATGGTTCTCCCAGCAGCTGGTGTAATTCGTGGTTCATTCGCCTCCTCTACGTTCCGTCATCCATCTATACTCCACCGTAGATGGTACGCAACACCTTCCGTTCGAAAACACCAGGGGCGCGTTGATCCTCCACGAGCAGAGTCCAGTTCTCGTGGCCGTAGAGGACCACCGGTCTAACTAACTGTCTGGTAGACAGTCAACTTCGTGCGGCGGCGAATTTTTTTCGACCGAAGCGTCCTCCGGAGTCCAAAGTAGGCACGATCTGCTGCCATAATGCGTCTTTGAATTTCTCTGCTGGTATCATTTTCGGCGCTCACCAGTGAGCCCAAACACACCTCGATTTCGTCACCGTCAATCTGTACTCGGGGTGGAGGGCTAACATTGTCTTCCCTAGAACCTCCTTCAGTCTGATGTAAGTTTGCACCACCGTCTCAAAGTTCCGTGCCATGATGTCGATGTCATCGGCGAAGCCAAGGAGCTGGATGGACTCCCAATGCGATGTTGAATAGCAGACACGAAAGTCCATCACCTTTCCGTAACCCCCTTCGAGATTCAAAGGGAGTCGAGCGTGTACCGATTCTCGAACAAGGCACATCACTCGATATATCGTCGACTTGACCAATCGCGTCAGTTTATCCGGAAATTCGTACTCGTGCCTAATCTGCCATAGTTGATCTCGATCGATTTTGTCGTATGAACAAATGATGTGTGAGCACGTTGTATTCGCGGCATTTCTGCAGAAACTGTCGAATCGCGAATCCCGCCTGGTATTGCCCGACGAACTCTCTTGCAAATGGTGACAGGCGGCGGCATAGAGTTTGGGAGAGTACCTTGTAGGTGGCGCTTAGCTGTGTGATCGCGCGGTAGTTGCATCAATCCAACTTGACGCCCTGTTTGTAGATTGGGCATACGAAACCTTCCTTTTCGGTAATATCTCCTCCTTCCAAATGTTAGCAATTAACCATCAGTCATTCTCTGCTTGATCGTCAAGCAGTTCAGTTCGGTGTTAGCTCACTCTCTCGAGTTGTTTGAAAAGTTCGTGGCGATAGTGTTCGCGCTCTCTCTTTCGCGGTTTGTCGTGCGTGTGTGTGTGCCCCGTAATGGAGAAGCATCGGTCGTGAAGTCCGGCGAAGGTCCAGAACCCCGGTGAAGGAAGCTCCGGTGTGCCTACCTCGAACAGGTTTGCTGTTCTCCCCATGGATAGGAATATCCAGCCAGCTGTGTTGGAAAAACGCAGCAAGAAGAGGAAGAAGAATCGAGGCCAGTCCGATGGCACGATTGGTCGAGACGATGCCTCTGCGACGAACGGAGATTTCGGTGACGCTGCCGATAAAGAAAATGCTGCCGACATGAGCGCGGCAAGAGTGAAGCTACCTCCGCTGGTAGTAAAAAATGCCCATCTCAACGAACTCATCGCGGATCTGGCATCGCTGGGCGTCAAAGCCGAATTCAAACTGGGCAGAGTCGGCTCCAAGGTGGTACTCCGTACCAAAGCGGAGTATGACTTGGTCCTCGCCCACCTGAGCACTTCCAAGGTGGAATTCTTCACCCACGACATCCCCGGTGAAAAACCGTTCAAGGTCGTCATCAGGGGCCTACCAAATTTCGACCCGAAGTTTATCGAACATCAAATCAGGGAGCGGTACAGTATCGAATGACAAGAAGAGACGAGAATGTGAAGGCGTATCCGGATAGCCTTTTCCTGGTACACTTCCAGAAGGGAACGGTGACGCTCAACACACTGAAAGCCATCCGGTCCATCAATTCCATCATCGTTCGCTGGGAGTCATACCGTGGCAGCCATCGCGATGTGACTCAGTGCCAGCGGTGTTTGAACTTCGGACACGGTACTCGCAACTGCAACATTAAGCCACGCTGCTGAAAATTGCGCTCAAGACCATGCCACCTCCGAATGTGCTGCGGATGAAGCTGTGGCGTCCAAATGCGCCAACTGTGGTGGTGCTCTCCAAGGATCCAACAAGCAGTGCCCTAAACGCGAGGATTTCAAGCGCATCCGAAATCAAGCGTCCACCAACAATCAACCAGCACGAAGGAAGGATAAGGCCTCGGCTTTCAGGACGGAGGAGTTTCCGCCTCTTCATGGACAAGCGAATCTAAGGGTGCGATCCGCGCCCCCTCAAGAAACGTCTGGATCTTCTGCTGGACAAAGCTCTCCATCCCCCTGGATTCTGGAGGCAACCAACAGCTCAAACAAATAATCCCGATCTGTTCTCAGCAGATGAACTTATGGAGATTTTTATCAACATGACCGGTGCTCTACGTAAGTGCTGCAATAAGCCCGAACAGATCCAAGTGCTCGGTAAGTTCATCATCCAATATGGTGTCTAAACCGCTAACCATCGCTACCTGGAACGCTTGCTCTGTAATAGCTAAACAGATTGAGCTTGCCGACGGTCATCGTCAGAAAGGGAATCAAGTTTTGCACTCTGCCCCAAATCCGCACTTCTATCATCGAGGCCATTAGTGTGGAGGTGGAATCACCAACTGGAAACGTCCAGTTTATCGCAGTTTACTGCCCACGTCAGTGTACCACAAGCAACGGCCTAGGTATCCAATTCAAGAACGACCTGACCGCCATCACTCGTACTAGCTCCCGATTCATCGTTGGGGGCGAACTAAACGCCCGCCACGAAGCTTGGCGGAACTACCAGAGGAACCGGAACGGATGTCTATTGTTCGACCACGCACAACATGGACTGTACACTGTGCAATTTCCGGACGAACCAACTTTCATCTCTCCGACGGGAAATCCCTCCACCCTGGACTTCTTCCTGTCAAACATCGGACTATCCAAGCCGGAGGCGCACAACGATCTCAGCTCCGACCACCAACCGGTGGTGACTGAAGTCGGTGTCAACGTGGTTCCTGCTAGAAGCTGCCTGCGTAAAGACTACCACCATGTCAACTGGGTGCAGTAAGGTCGAATGGTGGACAGCAACATCGATGAAAATCCACTGCTCGACACCGTAGATGACATCGACCGGGCGTTGGAAGGACTCCAACGGGCCATATCCGAGGCTGACGAGACATGCGTTCGACAAGTTCCTGTGAGGGGTAAGTTTGTTGCTATTGATTGCCACACCCAATTATTGGTTCGATTGAGAAATGTGCGCAGATGCCAGTTTCAGAGTACTGGAGACCTGGGCAAAAAACGTGAAATGGCCGATCTGAACAGGCAGATTGCTTCCAGAATGGACTCACTCCGAAATAAAAGTTTCGGGCGTGTTGTCCAGAATCTGGACGACCGCTCCAGACCATTCTGGAAGGTAGCCAAGGTCCTGATAACTCATCCCAAACCCGTTCCACCTCTCAGAGTCGAAAATGATGACGATCGGCTTTTAATCACCCCACAGGAGAAAGCAAATGCGATCGGCGAGCATGTCGCTTCATCGCATTTGCTTGGCTCGACTATCCAAAGTCCGCTCGAAGATCAGGTTGCGCAAGGCGTTCAAAACCTAGATGTCGTGCCTCCGGCGGATATGATTACAGTACAACAGATTTTCTCAGCGCTGAAATGCACCAAGAATATGAAAGCTCCCGGGTTTGACGGTATATTCAACTTGATTTTGAAGAGACTCAGCATGAAAGTGCAGTCTCTTCTAACCACTATCTTTAACAGATGCTTGGAACTGCACCACTTTCCAAGCATCTGGAAAGTAGCAAAAATCATACCAATCCGCAAGCCCGGTAAGGATCCAACATTGCCTTCAAGCTACAGACCAATCAGCCTCCTTTCAGCGCTGAGCAAATGTTCAAGAAACTCATTCTCAATCGTTTGCTCAAGTTTGTCGAGGAAAATAACATTCTCCTTCCGGAACAGTTTGGGTTCAGAAAGGGGCACCAGCTAGTGCGGGTGATGAATAACATCCGAAGTAACAAGGCTGTATCCAAGTCTACAGCCATGGCATTGTTAGACGTTGAGAAAGCGTTTGATAATGTCTGGCACAATGGGCTTGTATACAAGCTTTGTAACTTCAACTT